GTGTGTGTGTGTATGTGTGTCAACAAACTTGTTTTCAGAAAATAAATATGAGAATTTACTTGGTATATTCAGACTTTACCGTTTCTATTCGCATATGATACCAATAAATTCCCCATCTCCATTTAAATTTTCAATAAATATTTCCTAAAATTTCGAACATGTATAAATGACGAAATATTTCGCTATGAGATTTTATTTTTATTTCAATCATTTTTCAATCAAATTTAATATTATCAGACAAAATAAAAATATAATAGGAAATATTCAATATTCATTTATTATTAAAAATTGTATATAAGCATGTAATGTAAATTGTAACATGTTGTAATAAATTATTAGAAAAATCCTGGCAATTGAGAAAATTTTCGCAAATCTTACAAAATTCTTGGAAAGTTTAGTTGAACTTTTTACCAATTATATTCTTCTGATATTTTGTTGATTTGCAAGTTTTGTGATTCGAAATTGGCTAATTCTGAGAATCATTATTCTTGAAAAATTCACTAAATTTTACACGATTTTTGCAACTTTTCTGTAGATTATGATTGAAATTTCCAAACTTAATATTTTATGAATTTAGTTCATAGAATTTTTTAAAGTTCTTTAAAGTTTTTTAAAGTTTTAAATTTTGTAAAGTTATAAAATTTTTTAAAATTAATGAATATGTATGAAGAAATATATTCATTTGCAGGACAAGTATTTTATTTATTATGAAATGTTTTATAAAATATTAATTTTTATTATATTTTATTATATCTTTAAACATTACAAAGTATCATTTATTATTATTGACACACATATACACATAAAAATCTTTTATCTAATAACTATAATTGTAAAATTTTTGACAGATATCAAATTGTTGCTATCAAAATTAAATATATATGAAATTATTATGATATTTTATTTTATCAAGAAATGTTTAGATCTTTTTATAGATACAAACTCTTGTAAAATTTATAAAATAAAAAACGTAGTCAAGATACTGCTATCACAAATTATATTGTGTCTAATTTGTCTCGATGTCGGAAATTGCGAAGGATGCATCAACTCACGTCAAGTTAGTTTCTTCGGTTCGCAAAGTTTCTTCGGTTTGTTTCACATTTTCTCCGTGAAAATTACACAATTCCTGATGTTCGTCTCGATGTCGGTACCGACAGTGCTTCACCGAGAACTGCCAAAAAGTCGGCGAAACGAGGGTCGACAGCCAGCAACGCAGTCCGAGCATCATTCGAGATGGGATAACCGGTGGCGGGAGGAGGCGAACGATGGGTCCGGCAACAATGCATTATTTAAATTTTAAAAGCCCCTCAAAGTGTCTGGTTAATTCGCCGGTCCTTTACCCTATCTCCAGCTGTACGACTGGAAACGCGGGAAACCGACGAGCGAGAATCTTATATGTGCGTTGATATCTGCATAAATGTGCATAATGCATTTATGATCGTTCAGTTTATAAAGATTGAAAGACTGATATTTATGTGCATTTCAAGAAACGCTTATTTTTTACATAAAAATCTATTCTTATTAAATAATTTATTTATTTATAATGAGATTTGAGAGTCGAAGTATTGGTCATTTTATTCAATAATATGCAGTTTTCTAAATTTTATTGTGACAATTTCGGTATCCGTTCCTTACACTTATTTTCGTAACTAGTATTTTTGATAGCTTAAAAGAAAGAGAAAGAGATGTACTCTTGTATTTTTTACCCGAAAAAATCTCCAACGAAATAAAAATTGAAATTACAATTTTTAAATTGTTATTTTGTACAGATATCTTAAAATTTATTTTGGCAGAAAGAAATAGGCATGTTAAATAGTTTATTATACTACAGTTATTTAATTTACATATTAACGATATAATAAGTGGTGTAATAAGAAAAATCTTTGACACTAGATACGAGTGTCACTTCTCAAATAACGATGAGGCAGACAAAAACGAAGTGCATATAGCGGCTCGCGGCCGTCAGGCACGTTCGCGAATGTGAAATCTGCATTTGTCGCTGAATCGATCTCATCTTTCCATATAATTGCCAATATAATCAGCGGCGGGAGGAGACGCATTCGTATGTCAGCGTGTGTACGTGTGAGTGTTTGTGTGAGCGTATGTCGCGAATACTCGAGTATACACGCGCGCGCGCGCGCGCGCGCCCCCACACACACATACACACACACATACAGACACACACGCGAGAGGATGCAGGATTCGCGGATACATACGCGGATACATAGCAAGCTGGAAGCAGGTTGACAGATTGACGGTTCGGTCGCGCCTCGTTCAACCCAGCGTCCGATGAATATTTCAGGTGCTCCGGCTTCACCTGTCAGCCCGCGGGATGCCACGCTGCGCGGCGAGAAAGAGCGAAAGAGAAAGACGAGCAGCGGCAGCAGGGGTAGCAGGAGCGGCAGCAGCAACGGCAGCAGGAGCAGCAGCTTGGTTGCTTCTATGTATAGGGGGCCGTGCCCTGGCGAACTTTCGACCCGAAATGACCCGGGAGAGAATCGAAGAAGATAC